ATTAATTACATGGACAATTGTGGGTGTGGTGTACATTTTGTAACCATTCTTTAGTATAATACTTGTGTGATGTAAGAATGTTAACACTGTTATATTCTTTTTTTAGTATAATATGTGTGTGTGTAGAAGTGAATCATTTACTGCTTGCAAACCAATGATGGTAAGATGATGTCATGGGGTAGGACTGGATAAGTCTGACTTCTTCCTACTCCATTCAAGCATGTACTAGGTATAAGCAAATTGATATTGGATTAGCATTTGTTGGATATGTGTAAAATTATGTGTGTTGACATAACTGTCTTTACATGCTTGAAAGAATAAATCAAATCAAATAAAAAATAAAAGAATAATCAGAATTACTGGCACCAAATAAAATGTTTGTTCAAAAGATAGAATTTTGTATTAAACATTGACATTTGACAAAGTGAAGAAATTTCAGAGTTTGTCTCTTTTTCGTTACATAACATTTATTAATAAGACAGACACAAAAGATGGGGAAAAGAAAAGGTTTAAACCCCTTTAGAGGTTTGTGATGATATAAGAACTTAGATAACTATAAGTGTTCATAAAATTATAAAATGATCGATAATCATCCAAGAAGTCAACGTGACAAACAGGACTAGCATAAATGAATGATGGATGATAAAACTGTTTTAAATATCTCCCTTGGCACTACTCAAACGGGTTGATTGGTGGTCTGCTATGTGGAGGAAAAAGAAGAATGTTGCCTGCTTTACTTAATTTTGATACCAGTTATTTATCGGAGAATTTCGTGGGGTATCTCCACTAGACCAGTGGTCCCCAACCCCCGGGCCGCGGACCGATACCGGTCCGTGGACCAATTGGTACCGGGCCGCACAAGAAATCATTAATTATTTCCGTTTTATTTATTATCTGAGTCTGAACGATCTTTTATTTTGAAAAATGACCGCATTCTCTCGGTTACATCTCGGTCACTTGAACGCCAAAACTGGCTTACTTGTGGACATATTCAACCTGCTCAATGAACTCAGTCTGTCACTTCAGGGGAAAATGACAACTGTCTTCAAGTTGGCAGATAAAGTAGCTGCATTTAAAGCCAAACTGGATTTGTGGGGACGGCGCGTCAACAGCGGCATTTTGGACATGTTTCAAACATTAGTGGGGATTTTGGGTGAGACTGAGCCTGAGCCTTCATTCTCCCAGCTGGTGCACGATCACCTGTCTTTGCTTTTAAAAGAGTTCGAGCGCTACTTCCCAACCACAAAGGACCCACGAACTGCCAAGGAATGGATCCGCAACCCATTTGTCAACAAACCAGGTGAATCCAGCATGTCTGTGCAAGAAGAAGATCAACTGCTGGAGATCGCAAATGACGGCGGCCTTAAAAGTATGTTCGAGACCACAACTCTGTCGGTGTTCTGGATTAAAGTCATGACAGAATACCCTGAGATCGCCACCACAGCACTGAAAACCCTGTTGCCATTTCCGACATCCTATCTGTGTGATCTGTGTGGTTTTTCTGCAGTGACAGCAACCAAAACAAAACAACGGAGTAGACTGAACATAAGCAACACACTTCGGGTGTCATTGTCTCCTATTACCCCCAGATGGGACCGTGTCGTTGCAGAGAAACAAGCTCAGGTCTCCCACTGATTTAGCGTTATGGGGAGTTCAAATTTTCATCTACGTACAAATTTGTCAAGCGTTGACCGGTCCGCAGTGATAAAAAGGTTGGGGACCACTGCACTAGATTACATGTTACACTAAACCCGCTTTATTATGGAGGGTCAGACCGGAAGCTTCTTCGCCGGTTGAAATAAACAGCTCCTGCTTCCTTATCTGGCTGTCAGGATTCTAAACTGAAATAAAGGAAGGATAATTCAGTGATAAAGTGATCGTCAGGTGTGTGGGGATGAGTGAGGAACATTACCTGGAGTTGTGTGAGAACCCGGTGCAGTTTGAACACGCCTCCAACGTAAACAACGTCTTCTTCGACGAGGCCAACAAGCAGGTGAGCTAGTTAGCATCGATCAGGCTAACAAGCTAGCTAAGCCAGCTAGCTGGATGACATGAGTCGGAGCTTGTAAACAGCAGTGTACAGTTTTACTGTACTCATTGTGAAGTGTACTAGCGCCACACGATGTTTTATTAATATAAATTTATCGATAACATAAGACAGATTGATAGGTAAAAAGATCGTTGACGGAATATAAACAAGTCCCTTGACAGACTTAACCAGTAGGAAAAGTAATGGGATCCTGAATGTAAGGAAACGCTGCTGCTGCATTATCAAAAGTAGAGCTGCAACTATTACATGTTTAAAAGATTAGTCGTTAACTGTTAAAAAGAGGCTTTTTAAATTTACCGTGTACATTAATGTTAGAAAATCTTGAAATTACACTGCCACAGGAATGTGACTTAAAGTAGGATTAGCACATCCCGCTTTATATTTTGACTCGTTAAAACCACCGAGTGCATTAAAACCTGACTGTTTGATGTGACCAGAGCAATGAAAATTGGGTTAAACCAATGTATGCTCACTTATGTTGTTTGTGCCACAACCACTAGAGGATGCCCAGTTTTATTTAAAGGCAGAGATGCTGTGTAGATCTTACTGTTTGTCACCTGGCCTCTGTTGTGTCCTGTTGTTTGGCTGCAGGTGTTTGCCGTCCGTTCAGGTGGAGCCACAGGTGTGGTGGTCAAAGGCCCGGATGACAAGAGCAGTGTGGCCTTCAGGTACCTCAACATTTGTAGGAATCTGTTTTTCTTATTACACTTTCTGCTCTGGTATTAACACATGACCAGTCGCTAGTTACTGTTGTAGCCGCAGGATGACCAGCTGGCCCTGGTGCTGTGGGACAGTAACTAGTCTTCTGTGTAATTAGAAAAGGATGTTTGTCAGAAGAAGGTCCCTCTTTCTTCTTCTTTCTCTGTTCTTTGACCCTGTACATTATAAGATTGGTGCAAAATGGACACAGCATCCAGCGTAATTTGTACTTAAGTAAATGTACTGTACTTCCCACCACTGACAGTGTCGTAATAATCGGTGCTTTCCTCTGCAGAATGGAGGATAAAGGAGAAGTGAAGTGCATCAAGTTCTCCACTGGAAATAAGATCCTGGCAGTGCAGAGAACATCAAAGTCTGTGGTGAGACACTTGTACTGTGCGAGCACGTAGACAGCGATTAATTAATTAAAACCACCAGCACTTTCTGTCTTTACACTTTGTCAGCTATATGACAACTGTTAAAGTGTCATCTTATTATGTACGCATCAGTTTATAAGATGGCAGAGTCTTTGTTAATAATATTGTTTACCTAACTATGAAGTTACAACCTGCATTAATCAGATGCACCAGTGACTGTGTTGTCGACTTGTTACACAAAGCCAGTTGTGTTCTCTGTCCTGACCTGAAGCTTACTGAGTTGTATAACTTTTATTTTTGTGTTGTTTGTAGGATTTCATCAACTTTATACCTGACTACCCCCACATAGAGTTCAGCCAGGAGTGCAAGGTGTGTCACGTGTTCTGGTTCTTGTTTTTGTTCTGCTGACTTTTGTTTTCAGATCAGAAGAACTCCACTGTGTTCTGAGGAGAAATCACTGCCCAATAAATTGAATGTTGTTTTGTAAGTGAACGTTATGTGTGTGCTTTGTCTTGTTCTGCAGACGAAGAACGCTCATGTTTTGGGCTTCTGTTGGACAAACTGGAACGAGATTGTCTTCATCACCGACCAGGGAATCGAGTTTTACCAGGTGATCTGACACGGTTTCAGTGGGATGGTACCAGGACCCAGATGTCAACGCACATGATGCAAGTTGACCCATGACTCAGTGTTGTGTTGTGTGTGTGTGTGTGTGTGTGTGTGTGTGTGTTCGTTCAGGTGTTTCTGGACAAGCGCAGCTTGAAGCTGCAGAAGAATCAGAGTATTAATGTGAACTGGTACCAGTACCACCCGGAGGCGGCCGTCATCCTGCTGTCCACCACCGTGCAGGGGAACATCCTGCAGCCCTTCACCTTCAGGGTCAGCACAGACCAAGTCATGTTGATGGAGTGCGGTCTGATTTTGAACACACACCCATTCTGAGACTTCAGTCATTTATATTTGTGTGTTTGTTTTTTTACATCGAGCTCTCCGGGTCGATCAGGTTGTTGTTGTTTATTTTTTAGAGCGGGACCATGTCAAAGATGTCCAAGTTTGAGGTTGAGCTGCCCGTCATCCCCAAACCTGCCAAACTCAGCCTGTCGGAGAGAGACATCGCTATGGCAACCATGTAAGTGGCCGCCGTCACGTACAGCTCTGTGTTGTAGCCACTTGACCTTATCGCCCTGTGAATGCACATCGGTGAGCTGTGTCCTGTCTCTGTCTGCAGCTATGGGCAGCTGTACGTAATGTATCTGAAGCATCACTCGAGGACAGCCAACAGTCCCAGTGCAGAGGTGGTGCTGTATCACTTACCCAGGCACACACACACACACACACACACACACACACACACACACATTTTCTAGCATTAAGGGTACCCTGTGTCGTTTTATTTGATAAACAATCCAAAATACTTAATTTACTAAGAAACATTATAGACTCAGGAACTAAGTGATCATTGGTTAGTTTTTGCTTTAAAAATGACCAAATCAAATCAAATTTTATTCATATAGCGCCAAATCACAACAAAAGTCATCTCAGGACACTTTACAAAGTAAGGTCTAGACCTTACTGTTATCAATATTATTACATAGGGAAAACCCAACAAATCCCCCTTGAGCAAGCACTTGGCGACAGTGGGGAGGAAAAACTCCCTTTAACGGAAGAAACCTCCGACAGACCCCGGCTCTTGGTGGGCGGCCTTCTGCCTCGACCTGTCCCATAGCTGATAACAGTTCTTTTACATACTGGATAGCATCGTCTGGTTTGTAATCTTTCTTGACTTCGTCCAATTTCTTCTCAATAACTTTCATTAGGAGAGAAACTCAGAGCATCATGGGGCCCCCAGCAGCCTAGGCCTATAGCAGCATAACTAAGGGAAGGCTCAGGGTCACCTGATCCAGCCCTAACTATAAGCTTTATCAAAAAGGAACGTCTTAAGTCTAATCTTAAAGGTAGAGAGGGTGTCCACCTCCTGAACTGAGACTGGGTGTTGGTTCCATAGGAGAGGAGCTTGATAGCTAAAGGCTCTGCCTCCCATTCTGCTTCTGTGGACTCTAGGAACCACCAGTAACCCTGCACTCTGAGAGCGAAGTGCTCTGTTAGGATGATAAGGCTCTACGAGGTCTTTATGATACAATGGAGCCTTGTTATTAAGGGCTTTGTATGTTAGGAGAAGGATTTTGAATTCTATTCTGAATTTTACAGGGAGCCAGTGGAGAGAAGCTAATATGGGAGAGATATGATCTCTCTTGCTAGTTCCTGTCAGTACTCTGGCTGCAGCATTTTGGATTAACTGGAGGCTTTTTAGGGCATTATTGGGACATCCTGATAGTAAAGAGTTACAGTAGTCCAGCCTGGAAGTGACAAATGCATTGACCAGTTTTTCATCATCACTTTGAGACAGGATGCTCCTGATTTTTGCAATATTGCGCAGGTGAAAGAAGGCAGTTCTAGAGACTTGGTTTATGTGTGATTTAAAGGACATATTCTGATCAAAGATGACTCCAAGGTTCCTCGCAGTAGTACTGGAGGCAAGAGCTATGTCATCTAAAGTAACTATATGATTAGACAGCAGATTTCTAAGGTTTTCAGGCCCAAGCACAATAACTTCAGTTTTGTCAGAGTTTAGAAGTAAGAAGTTGCAGGTCATCCAGGCCTTTATGTCTTTAAGACATGCTTGAAGTTTGACCAGCTGACCTGATTCATTTGGCTTCATAGATAAATATAACTGAGTATCATCTGCATAGCCAGTGCCTGACCAGTGATTTGTTGATTGTCATATTTGTTGCACATTTTCTCTCACTCATCGATTAATCAGATAATCTGTTGATAAAAATAATAAATTCTTTGGGACCATAAAGAATGTGAGTGCGTTAATGTTACAAAACCCTGCAGGAGTCTGTTGTTCTGTTTAATGTCAAGGTGTCTCATATCCCTCATCAATCCATACATGAAGAACAGCACCGTGACCTGATGCTGCCTTTTAACCCGGATCCACATAACGTTGACTGTTTTTGAGATGTGATAAAGATTTAGAATGCAAAGACTGAATGTTTAGTTCCTGACTGCATGTTCAGAAACAGAAGATAGCGATGGTGCTGCAACATTGAACACTAGGTCAGAGCTTGTCTGGTTCATGGAAGTTATTGTGTGTGTGTGTGTGTGTGTGTGTGTGTGTGTGTGTGTGGGTATGCATGTTTAGGGAGGGTCCATGTAAGAAGAGTCACGTGCTGAAGCTCAACACAACGGGGAAGTTTGCTCTAAATATCGTGGACAACCTGGTGGTGGTTCATCATCAGAGCTCCCAGGTGAATGTGTGTGTGTGATCCATGCTAATGTTTATGTGGATAAATGTTGTGTTTCTGTGAGGCTGTTACTTATAGAGCACATGTGTGTGTTTATCAGACGTCCCTGATCTTTGACATCAAGTTAAAGGAACCAGACTGTGCTGTCAACACACACCAACCTGTCCTACCTGCCAGGTCCATACACCCCTACAGGATACCACTGTCAGGTACACACACACACCCCTCCTGCCTTCAGGCTGGATTTATTTCTCTAGGGATGTTAATCATGGATGTGGCTGAAATTATTTTTTTTTTTTAACCCTTGCTCCAGTGGTAGATATTTACTGTGTACTGTCAGCCACAGGTGCCCTGGTTTTAGTCTGTACTTAGTCAAATTCTCCCTGTTAAACGTAGCTGAATAGGCAGCGAGCAGCTCTTGTTTGTGGTGTAGCCATGGATGTACGGACAGCTGTCTCTGGGTTAATGTGATACTGACACAAAGTTAAAACCCGAGGATTCTCATGCAGGTTCTGCAGCATCTGTTTCCTCTGATTCCCAAACAGATTTGTGGATGTTTATTCACAATGGAAGACAGTGATACTCTCAGGAACTGCTGGTCACTGAATGATATCTGTGTGTGTTTCACATCTGTGACTGACAAGGACTGAGATCTCTGACTGTTTCGCTCCCTGCAGGTCCAGCAGTGGTTCCCTCTCAGCCTCCAGTGCCCTGTCAGCTCTGTATCCTGTTTCTAATGCACTGAGCGGTCGGTGTCTGTTCTGCTGGTTTTCTCATGTTGACCTTGACTTTCCCTCCAGACTCTTCCTCGTGGAGCGTCTTCCAGCCTGACATCATCATCAGTGCCAGTGAAGGTGTGGAAAACACACACACGTGTTGAGAGCAAGCCGAGTGAGAAACTTCACTCTGTAACACTCCTGTACAGTCGGAGTGGACTGAGTGTTTCTCTGCTTTCATTCATGTCACATCAGTGGCTGTGCAGATTCTCAGTCATCTAGGTCATAGTAAACTGAAAAAATCTAAGTCCAGTTGATTTTTTTTCTAAGGTTTTTTCATGTCACATCAGTGATTTAAGCTTGGAAACGTCATAGTTTTCAATCAGGAGCATCAGTGTTTGGATCAGCTCCTTATGGGCAGATATCCAGTGTTACAGGACTGAGATCGGCATCGCAGCCCAATACAACGTCCTTGCTGATGATGTTTGATTTCTGTCTGGGTTAGGTTATTTGTGGTACCTACAGGTGAAGCTGCCTCCAACTGTCAACCTGCTGCAGGACAAAGGCAAACTGATGGACTTCCTGTTACGACGGAGAGACTGCAAGATGGTCATCCTGTCAGTCTGCACCCAGAGTACGTCCCCTGTTCCCCTGTCTGTCTGTCTCTCACCGCACTGAGAGTCTGCAGTTGACGTGTCTGACTGTAGAGACTTATCTCTCTCTTTATCCTGATTCGAGTCAACTGCATGTCAGCTCACAGAGTGCGTCATGTTCATGTTTGTGCTGCTGTTCAGACTGACTTATGCAAAGAAATTATATTCTGTTCCTAAAAATTAAGGTTATCAAGCAACCAAGATGAGTCGAACAGGAATAAAGATTTTAATTCAGATCATTTATTTGATAGTTTCCATATGAAACAGAGTCTGAAAATGAAATGTTGGGAAACAAGTTCAGTACAACAAATAGAGT